TCTCTCTCTCTCTCTCTCTCTCTCTCTCTCTCTCTCTCTCTCTCTCTCCCTGCATTTGCACAAGCAAACGAAACGAGAGAGGAGGTGGTTCATTTGCTTGGCCATAAAGCATTTATTTACCTCCAGGTGAGTGTCGCGCAGAGTGCAGAGTAAAGATCGCAGGAGAGATTTACACCTGTCTCTGCGCTCACATACAGAAGCCTATAGCCTACAGAGATGGCCACTGGAGCCAGCTTGTCTGGGACTCTGCTAGACAGCACCCCCCCCCCCCCCCACACACACACACACACACACACGCACACTTTGCGTAATGTGGGGGTGCCCCTGACATTCAGAGATCACCTTTGGGTATTAAACCGTGTAGAATAATGAGCACATTATAATTAAATGAAAAAAAAATCATTTGATTTGCTTTAGTTTTTATCCATAAGTGTGCGCTCCTTTCTCTGTTAGTAAAATATTTCATCAATTTCATTCAGAATCCCCCGATTCAAGATGGTCTCTACAGCTAAGAGACTATAGTTGACCCAAAAATGATTCTAACTCAGCCAGTTTCAAAAGATTTGAGCTCAAATTTGGTGTGGTAGTAGCTGAGACTTAACCCTAACGCACACATGAGTGCTAACTCAATGAGCAAGATTTAAATAATCCCAACCATGTTCTTTATTCAGTTCAAATTTGATGTGGGAGTATAAGCACAATCCATAGCAAATACTCAGAGCACAACATTTTTTTTTACTTGAAACACCTGCTTGTCTGTTAGCAAAATAACTCATGAACAAACAAAACACACTTATTAAAAATAATAATTCGATGCACATCTACTGATTCACTTTTGGAGTCAGTCTGTTTTAAGATGCTCACCACACCTAATCAGCATTAGCCTACACAAAAATAGATTTAATTCAGGCAAATTTACAAATATAGAAGTAATATTTGGTGTGGTAGTAGCTGAGACTTACTCTCAACACACACTCCAACCGCTAACAGATCATGCTGGGTATAACATGTCACATGAGAATGCGCATCAGATATAAAGAGTAGGCCCTAATAGCACAAACCTTATTAGAAGAAGCACACAAACCTTTTAATAAATTGCGAATAATTGACATGAATGACCTTCACATTTAGAACATTACAAACACGCATTAAACAGCTCATAATTATTTATAAGCTTTAACCATGTGTTTTCTGTCCGTGCACCTCAGCCAGCGACGATGATGACATCCACCACAACCCCTCGGGGCTTCTCTCTCTCTCTCTCTCTCTCTCTCTCTCTCTCTCTCTCT